CGCCCATGTAAACTTTAAAAGACAACCCGTTTCGGTGAAGAAAAATTATATATATATATATATATATATATATATATATATATATATATATATATATATATATATATATATATAAATTATTATATGTCTGACGATCGCAAATTGCGTGAAATCCAGTGTCACAATCTCACCTCAATCCAACTATAAATATATATATATATATATATATATATATATATATATATATATATATATATATATATATATAAACTGTTGATATCCACTGAAGAATGGAGAGACAGGTCCGTCTAAGAAACTCTGGAGTTGGGATCCTGAAGTATACCTAAATTAGCTAAAGGATAAAATTTTACTCACATTAATCATATATATATATATATATATATATATATATATATATATATATATACTTTTGATCACATTAATCCTACATATATATATATATATATATATATATATATATATATATAAAAAGTGAACATATAAGTCAACACTTAGAGGCGACAGTCTGTTTCATGCTATATGCACTGGCCTGACGATTGCATATAGCATGAAACAGACTGTCGCCTCTAAATGTTGACATATGTTCACTTTTATATTTACACGCTCTATCTCTGATATTGAGCACTTTATTCCATAAATATAGCATACCTTAAGACTATATTTCTTTTATATATATATATATATATATATATATATATATATATATATATATATATATATATATATAAACACACATATGCATATATATGTGGGTAGGGGGCCTCAAGAATACTTCAAAGCATTTTTTTAAAATTGCAACAGAAAATATCTCTTACATTTTTTTTCCTCATGTACGTACTACCGACTCAGTCATTATCCAGAAATGAGTGTTGTCGGTGCTGTAGACAAGGTTGTAGTAGCTATAATAATAAAAGTGCCTGGAAAGCAATATCCGTGAGAGAGTGGCTAGCCAATCTCGGTTACAGTTCAGCTCACGAGGCTCGGCTGAAGCTGTGTTAATGGTTTTCAGGCATTTTCCAACAGCTCCCCAGTCTAAAAAACATGAAGAAGTCACTAACCTGAAAAATCGACCATGGCTACATTCAAACCCGGGTTTCATGATCGAAAAGCCTTCGTTCTGACCAATATATATATATATATATATATATATATATATATATATATATATCTTTTGTTTCATTTTTGAAGTGTTATCTGATGAGCCAGCGTCCCCTTAAAGGGCTCTGGTGAAATAAATTATTATAATGGAACCTTAAAATGGTCCTTTTTAAATATATATATATATATATATATATATATATATATATATATATATATAGTCGAATTCAAATTGTCTCTGCCGTGCGCCATTCGCTTAGTGGTGAAACCTCCGACTAATATCAAATCACTCTGGTTTTCTATCCTGGCTTGGGTCAGTCGGACTGATGAGCTGTGGATTATATATATATATATATATATATATATATATATATATATATATATATATATATATATATATATGGCTCAGATCTTATGAGGCTGACCTTTAAGGTCAAACCGTAGACTAAATATGAAAGTCGTTTTTGAATGTTTAAAATTAGCGAACAAATGTTAGAGAGATAGGAAGTGAATTTATGGGAGTTAAGTTAACCTCATAAACAGTAGATGTAGATTTCGTATCTCGGGGACTTGCTTCCCAGAGAGGGCGAGAGAACGACACCAATGGCTCGTTTGAAATGTACACGCTTTTCTTGCATTTCTCTTTCATCTCCGGACTCCAAAAACATTTCGACATCCATCTGGGAGAAGACGGACGAGAAAAGATACAAAGTCATGAAATTGATCCCGTCGCCAAGGAGAACTCCAGAAGAAGGGTTCAATACAACGCAAATGGTAAACTTAAAATTCTATGTCGTATGGACGTAAAAGTTATATGAAATTAGAAATAATCAAATTATTTTATCTTTATTCAATACCTTAATTCAGCATAATCTTTCTTCGTATACACATCCGATCTCCGGATCTGTTTGTTTACATTTATTTTAAGCGCAATTTTACTTTTCTTTTAAAATCACCATTTTTATGATCCTTTCACATAAAATCACTCTTAAAAGACATAAGGGAACCAGGACTGAATAATATTTCGTATACGTCACAGTAGGAGAGCTAGAAAAGTCCAAAAAAGAAAACGTATGAGCAAAGTACTGTGCCCCACTTAGGTTTTAATTACGATTGAATTAGTTTATATCAATTGCAATTGCAATGAAAATTGAAATTAATGTTAAACTTTTAATAAAGAAATATTTTTTAAACCTTTCACTCCGTTCGATATTTAAATTTAACTTTAAATGTGTTATTTTTTTAATTTTTAATTTCATGCAACTGCAGTAGTTACCAACTGTTATTTCAAGTTGTTTATGATTCGCTGAGATTGAAAAACAGACGGACACGCATACATTGCGCATTATTTGTATAGATGCTTTATCTAATCAAAATTCCTGATAATATTAATACTAACATTGTTTGTACAAAATAATACGAGAGACAAAGATAGAGAAGAGGTGGTGGCCACTGTCTGGTGCTTAACGTCTGCTTCAATGAAATGGAAGTCAAGAAGAAATGGAAGAATTAGAAAGGAAGCAAAAATAGAGAAAGAAACAGAAAATATATATGGACAGGAACGAAGGCTGAGGTAAGAAATGACATTTTGTAAAGGTAATTATATATATATATATATATATATATATATATATATATATATATATATATATATATATGTATGTATGTATGTATATCGAAAAGGTTATAGTTGTTCCAACGAGAGAAAAATGTATATTTTAAGAATAGAGTGAAACCGCAAACGTTTATGGTTATAATATGGATTTGTAACAGTCCAGAAATGTGATGGAGGTGCACTACAAATACAGAAAACGAACAATAAAACATTAAAAAACATAAGGAAAAATTATTCCTTTAAAAAATCAACTCCTTTAATTTACCTAAAGAAGGTCACGAGACGGAAACACGTGTAGCAGAAATATTAAAAATAAAATATAATATATACACTAAAAGAAATCCACATTATAACCAAAAACGTTTGTGGTTTCTCTCTTTTTAATATACCTACCTACCTACCTACCTACCTACATACATACATACATATATATATATATATATATATATATATATATATATATATATATATATATATATATATATAAGGTTAGTCGAAAGTCTAGCATCACAGGGGGCTTATTAAATAATCATGTTTTTAGACCTCTATTATTTTTTGTTTTGATATTTTCTTATTTTGCAGAAACAATGTTGACAAAGTAAGATGGCTGAAAAACAAACGCAGGTTGTTT